CTCGACTTCGTACAGGTATACTAATGAAAATGAAACCGAACTACCACACCACCTAACCATAAATTCGCAATTGAGGTTTTTGTTTATGTAAACTTTTAACTTTTGACTTTATTCCGTACGAGTTTCTTTCATACAAACCTTAACCTCACAATTACAACCGGTTAAAATGTATACCACAATAAAAATTGAATTAACCAGATAGATACCAATATAAAGTGAGACTTGTACATTCCACAATAGATTTTTATTTACAAAGATATCATTACCATGTTCATAACATGTCGGCACTTTATAATTCGTTTATACATTTAAAATTTAGTTAAAGATCTATACCTGCCCAAGGAGTACAGAATCACTTACACTCTCAACTCCACTCCATAGTAACTAAAGAATTACATGAATGTACACAATTTGCATAAATAAATTCTTCTATTTTGAAGACTCGTTAGTTTTTTGTTCCAAGTGATGATACATTTAGTGTACTCGAACCTATTTACCGAGTTATGTGGCGGTTTGTGAAACGAAAGTGGCGTGAGTCAGTCCAGTCAGGCATCGCCTTTATGTCACTCACATGTCTAATTTGCGAAGTATATACAAAAGTTTTGTTCAGTGAAAAGTGAATTTCGGCAGTGAAATTAGAAAGGCATTGTTTGTACACGTGTGTTATACAATTGCTGAGATCGCTCTGCAACTGTGAAGTGGGAGTTTTGTGAGGAAAAACTTAGACAGTTTCATGGTTAGCTTAAAGTTGTTAGCGCAGAGGCAATACAGAGTATCCAGGTATAATAACTAAGTATTCGATATTCTGTAATGTCCTAACTTACCTCGTTCCATCAGGTAAGCCAATGTACTAATTATCTACCATGTATTTAAATTATACACTGGTATCAATAATATAATTATTACAATTTTCACAGCCTCAACACAGTTCACATAAATAGTTTAAGTAGGTACATACACAACACAATTTAGATTTGAAGAAAGAACAATAATAAGCCGTAGACAGATTTTTGTAAATATTTTTGTAGAAGAAGATAGATTTAAATTATAACAAAAGATTAGTTAGTAGCGAAGTAAAATGAGTGCATCATTTGCTGTAATTTGATTTGGTGAATAACACCAGGAAATTCTACAATCCATTGCAATTCTACAAAGAAAAATTATGTAACTATTTCTTCCGTGAATCAGCAATACCTACGTCACTTGATGTGTATTATCTGAAGTATAAGGTTCAGATTATGACGCAAAAGGCATTAGTTCTCAGAAATGACAGCGTAGGGGTGCCATGAGACAGTAATTCCTGTATTACCTCACTCCACTTGCACTAACTTATCATGGTACTTGTCAGATGTAAACGCAGTATACATAAAGTTTTCGGTTACATAGGTTTCCTCATAAAATAATTTCTGTCGTCCATTCTCATGAACTGACACTGCTTGATGAAACTGGTGTGTTCATTAATAAATAAGCAGCTGATTGAATTATTTTTGTTGACTGACATTATTTAATAGGATATGATCACCTTAATCACGCTTTAATGTTTTGATAGTATATGTACAGTCTCACCTGAAGAGTAAAAGCTTTTTTTTGTTCTTTGTCTATACAAAGTATATTCCGAATTAACTGATAGATTTGCCTTATTGTGTCCGCACTAACTAGACCTACATAAATTAATATATTTTAATTTAAAAATATATTGTCTAATTACATAGATAAGACTACTCAATTCTATTATTCAAACTATTATATATATACAACAAACAGTAAAATTATAGAAATTACAAGAAATATTTTGCAACTGTTAAGAAAGTGTTGTAGTAATATATTTTCACACAAGTAAGTGTAGCCGCAATGCTTTTAAATCGATTACATTGTGCCAACTTTTACTAAGTCCCCTGATTTCGAATTTGTGTGGATAAAGAAATATATTGTGACTCACCGTGTGAATTACAAGCCGTCTTTTATATTTCGGCTTTAAATGCTTTTAAGGGGGCGTCGAACATTTCAAGAATGGGTATTTTACACTTGTAGTGTTAATTCTGAAAGCCTTGACTGCCAGAGCAGTTAATACATCACTTTGTTCGTATATGTCTTGCCTCCAGCCACTTATTCCTCCGACGAGAGCAAAGGGAATAACTGCAGTTCAGTTGGAATGAAGACCTCCAAAAAAAAACGCCGATAAATAGTGATCTCGTAGTCAAATATTTTGTTTGACTCCAAAATGAATAAATTTTTATGATTTCTTTGGGAGTAATACAGGAAGACTTGGCACAGCTTTTTTTCTATTTAGCTTTTCATTTGTCAATTTTACTTAGGAGTCGTCTGATGACGACAGTTGAAATCAGCAAATATGTATTTTTCAAGTCCTTATTTTTAATAAGGATATACTAATAGTAAAAGTATATTTTAAAAAATTATTTACATTTAGTGTTATTAGCCATGCGGAAAAAGGGAATAAGTTTGTATAAAACAAAAACACTGCCAGCGTTACTACTTTATAACTAAAGACATAATCAAAAAGTAACGTGTGAACGTGCCCATACGGTTGGACTAATTTTAACACATAATTATATTACTTTCATAATTACTGTAGTATATATCGAGCAAGAATAATTGGCTTTGAATGTTCACTTACCTGTGTTAAACATAAATAACATCGCATGTGTGGTTTAAGATTAAATCGTGGTATTAGTTTTGACCGACATATGTGTATATCGATTTAAGAGTTGAATATTAAACATATGTGAACTAGCTTTTTCTCGCGGCTTCGCTCGCGTTAATTTATCCCTTTAGGGATGGAATTTATCAAAATCTCTTAGGGGATGGCTACATCATAGTAGCCCGATTGGTTTAAAATTGACGAAGTTTCATATAAACTTTCATCCCCTATTTTATCCCCTTGGGGGTAGAATTAATCAAAATCCTTTCTTAGCGGATGCCTACGTCATAACATCTACCTGCCAAATTTCTGCCTGATCCGTTCAGTGGTATGGGCTGTGCGTTGATAGATCACTATGTCAGTCACCTTTGAATTATATATATTTAGATGTGGATTTACAAATAATGATACTAATGAAAACCTACATTTTACAGATGTTTTATGTATAGCAATTGCGGCTTAAAAATAAATTAAAACACAAACACCGTCTATTAAAAATATCACATGTTAAAAATATCACATTATAGAAAAGAAAAGTAAATTCAGATAATTACACACAAATTGTTGTCTTTGTTAAATTGTTGGTAATGGAACAAATAATACATAGAAACAAACAACCATATTCATAAATACAAATGTTTGTACCATGCAAAGAATCGAACTAGCGACCATCGAGAGTAAAGCGACGTGCTAGACCGATTGCCACCGAGGCCGTGAAGTAATATGCAAATACAAATAATGGAAATGTATTTAAAAGGAAGTTATTAAGTTTTACTTCACTTTCATCACTGATAATGCAATCGTAATTAACTTTTAAAGTATTTAAGTATTTTACTGGTGCCGTAAAGTAACGCATAAACCTGTCAATATGTACATATGTAAATATTGTGTTATTTGGTGAGTAATGAATGACCATGCGACCTTACAATATTTAACCATTTCATGTAACTACCGTGTGTTTATGTATCAGACGATCTCTATTTATTAGTTCGGTTGGCCCATATCATGACATGCTCAATTAACATTTTTTATTACACCACAATGGCTGCGAACAATCATATGGCCCAACTGATGTTAAATGGTTACCGTAGCGTACTAGCTATTCATGTACATGAATGGATTTCACAATATGGTGGACTTATTTGTGTAATTATAAATATTATTGGATTGATTCACTAGGAAATTATAATAGAAATGTGATATAGATATAGATAATAATGTGTTTGTTATTTACTTTGCGAACTGCCTACACGACATTTTTTGTGACTGAAATTGCAATCTATTTGGCGACCCATCTAAGAGTTAATGGTTAAAGTAACCGTTGCTTATATACATGTACAGAACCACGGTAGTACCCTTCCGAATGATCCCCCGTCCAATTCAAACGAGGATCGAAATTACGACGACCTGAGTCGAGATTCGAACCTCGAAATTCGAAGTTTAAAGTTGTAATCAGGCAGAGGAGTTGATCTTCAGCCGCTTAATAAGTCCTTCTAGGAGTTTGGGGTGCCATCTGCACTAGCCTTCCATCGTTCGGTGCACTAGAAAAGCACCAGGACATTACTTTATAAGTGGCACCAAATATTGCCATTCCGGAAGGCCAACATGTCATGCCTCAGAATCCTGTAATTGAATACATCTCTTAAACCTAAACACATCTTACTAAGTAATCTATTAGTCTGTTGAAATAGAGAAGACAGTTACCCTTTGTTTTTCGAACTGTAATCTGAATATAATGTAATTTGGACTCTACTCTCAGCATTTAGCCTCCCATCGGAGCCAAGACTACTAAAATAGCCAGTCAAACTCTTCCCAGAAGCGCAGAAGCATTCTGTTGTTATCTTCAAAGGCTTCACGGAGCTACCTAACCGTTCCGAGGAATTGGAGAATTTGATTTTCGAACTATTCAGTTGTTGATGGCCATAATTAGCTGGTCTCTACAGCTTCACCAAAAAGGGAGGAGGTTGAAGGGTAGGGTAGGGTGCGAGTGCAGTTGGAACTCTAAACTCGCGGGAGGATTTATGTGTGCGGCTAAAGGCTAACTCCTGCCTGACGGATACGACTAGTCTGAGGGCTCCGCTAGGTGTTTGGATTTCGTTGCGGAAAACTGCTCGCGTATTCCCTAAACCCTCACAGAAGGTGAAGTGAAGGAACACCTTGGGGTTTTTAGCCGTTAAGAGTCCGGCAGTACCCGTATGCCTTCCTGGAGTGGGCGGGTATAAGGATTTTCTCCAAGAGAAAAAAGAATGGGTTCGAATCTCGGCTCAAGTGTAAACGACTCAGTACAAAGCCTACCTCGGTAAAAATGGAATGTAATTAATAAATAATGTTTCTATTACAGCGGCCGTGTATATAGCGGGTGTGGTCGCCGTCATAGGAGTGACAGTGCTGGGTGTGTTCTGCGTACTGTCAGTACTTCAATTAGCCATGATATCGTCAAAGGAGCGTGTTGGATTCAAGTACACGCACCTGGTGATGATGAAGCTGGCGCTCGCGTTGTTAGCCGGTAGGTTTTTTTTATTTTTATGGTCGCGGGTGCGTATGGGTATTACCTCATGGTACGTGCCTACATACATATGTCGTTGATGATTATAATATTGTTTACATATTATAAAATAAAGTCTCCCTCCATGTCTGTCTCTATGTTCGCAATAATCTCAATAATTAATGCATTTATTAACAAACTTGAAGTTTTATACATATGTATGGGGGGGGGGGGGGTGTTATTAATAAGGATAGTACCCCATTCCTAGCAACGCCGTCGCCCCTGGAAACCATTGTGGTCAATTTCTGGTAAATTCGCACGATGGCAAACTGATTTGACATCGTGTTCATGCTGTCATCCTTCACTGGTGCCCCGCCAGCTCAAGGTCCAGCATTCCATTATTATCATCAGGCCCGAAAAAACTCCATATGTATTTTTGGATTTATTCTTTCAAACTAAATACTAAATACCCTCAAAATGCGTTATGTGATTAAATTAGTATGAAAAATCCAAACTAAACAATGACGCTTTTATGTTTTCAGCTCTACTGTCCATAGCGGCAGCTGGCCTGTTCGCTGTCCAGGGCGATGACAGAGGATTCTACCTTACCAGAGGAGAAGCTTTTTATGTTCAGGTAATTTTTTTATGTAATTGAATGATAAGCTGACGGTCCGCCTGATAGCAAATGGCAATCGATATAGGCGACGGTTACAGGTATAACACCTGACAATAGCCCAAAACCACCAAAAAAATAATTGATATCCCTTATAATTATTTACTTTGAAATATATTACTATGCTCCACTTATTTACATCATTTTTCTTTTCCTTTCTGGTGTGTGTATGTGTATATGTATATGTATGTATATATGTATATGTATGTATATTATTGTATATATATGTCATTGCGACGCGTATTATTTATTGTACCTGTTTCCACCACTCCGCAATTCCTCTCAGTAACTCAAAGGTTGACTGGAAGAAATCCCTCTTCTGGTATAAGTCCGCCATTGTGTCCTTTTATTTATAATATTATTGTACAATAAAGTATTACAAACAAACAAACTATTTATATTGAAAATATCCTAATGTAACTTTGTTTGAGTTGACATAATTTGAGAAGTACAGTAATTTAGTTAATTATTACTTGTATGCGTCGCATTAAGAGTTCATAGTCGATTCTCTCTTCATGACTTCCTCTAACTTAAACGCTCCTTGAGCATGTGGCAGTTTATCTCGGTGGTCTAGCGGTGTAGCACACCGCTTTACTTCCGATGGTCGAGGGTTTGATTCCTCGCACGATACAACCATTTGTATTCATGAGTATGATTGTTTATCTGGGTATTTTCTATATAATAAGTATGTATTTACAAAAAAAAATGTTTATAACAGTTGTCTGTATCTATAACACAAGCTGCTTACCTTGGAACTAAATGGCGCTGGCTAAATATATCTAGAGATATTATTATTTATTTCAGTATGCAACCTTTGATGGGGTGTTAAATTTGACTTTTATTATTTGTCCGAATATAGGACAATCTTTTAATAGCTGTACCTGTGTTTGAACTGTTGTGGTGTGGTGGATAGATTGGTATTGATCATAATATTTATATATTTACAGATAGTATGCATAGTTATAAATGCACTACTGTTCATAATGTCACTGTACGACGCGTTGTTCTCGCGGCGAGTCGGCGGCGACCCAACCAACGCTGGTGACGCACCAGAGGGCACCACCATCAACAATCCTGGTTTCAAGGAAGGAAGAGGTGAGAAATATAAAAAAATCAATACAGTTCCTAGTTGCTCATTATAACATTAGCTATCTGCCATGTCCCGTTAAAATCAGTCCGTCCGTTTCAGAGATTAAAAAGACCAAACAGACAGACAACTTTTTTTATGTTAGTACTATATATGCTTTCAAATACATTTGAATGCACTGTTTATTTGAAATTACAAACAGACACTTAAATTTTATGTTTGTATACATGAAGTTTTCTAAAATATATATGATGTTTACTAACGCAAAAATTTTAATCTGTACCTAAGTTCCTATCAGCATATACAAATAGTCGAGTCATCCATCACCTTTGTTTAAAAGATGATCCTCTGTATGACTGTACATTTAATACTTATAAAATGATCCAGATTATACTGTTTACAAAGATGAGCTAACTGGTTTTTTTAAACTAATTTAAATTAGTTGAGCGTTGAACAAACTAAGCTGTAAAAGCCACTTTATGAAATAGGACTGTGTACTTATGACTTATCGCAATTGCATAAACATTGCGACGGTTACCGTTTATTTTTATTATCAGACGAGCCGTATGCTTGTTTGCTACCATCTTAGTAAAATTTTCAATTGTCCACTATGTTTCTAGTTCAATGTGGTTCAGTCTCATTAGTTTTATACCTAACCTTGGGTCTTTTACCTTCACTTTTATTCCTATATAAAAATGCAGATATCACTTCATCTTCTATTAGTGTAAATCTGCTCCTTATATAAACAGAATGGATCCCCTATCCAATTTAAACGGGGATCGAAATTACGACGTCCTGAGCCGAGGTTCGAATTCCTAGCGGTGCCCTCAGACTACAGTCGTATCCGTCAGGCGGAAGTTAGCCTTCAGCCGCTCCATAAGTCCTTCCGCGGATTTGTAATGCCAACTGCTCTCGCCCCCTATCGTCCGGTGAAGCTGTAAAGGCAGCTGTGGCCAATGCTTAGAGTAGTCCGGAAAAATAATACATAAATATAAAATATGATATTTCAGGAATCTCAATGACAGACGCGTCAGGGAAACCATACAGCACGAACGGCCACGGGAGCGTCGGCTCAGTCAACACCACCGCGACTACACTAACAGGCTTGTCAGACGCGAGCACCATCACCAGGTCACCACTCCGATCGTCGCTGAAGAAACCCAGGCCCCGAGAAGGAGAGCCAGGCGGGTTGGGCATCCAGAACCCTGGGTATTCCGGTCATTCGCCAACTCTTAACCGCAATGGGAGTCAGAAAAAGGTGCGCATTCAAACGCATAGTACTGAAGTATAATTTGTAGGTTAGATTAAGTTTGAAATGTGTCGGTTGTGGCTCTAAATATATGGATGGGTTGTGGTATACGGGATCATATTAAAAAGAATATCATTCCATAAATTTATCGTACCAATATCGCGTTCAGCAGAGAAACGAGCAGGCCGAAGTAGAGAATACGGTCGTAATTTTAGAAAAGTTTACAAAAAATACGTATTTCTGTTTTTTATTTTAAAAGGCACAATTATAACTCCAATTAAATGTTTGTATTATATATAATACATACCGTTTATTAATTATGAAATAATCAATAAACGGTAGGTATTTAAAAAGATATGACCCCAGTTTTAATGGGATGTGAACTACATACATTAACATTGCAGTAAAATCATGTATATCTTCACACGATATTATCACGGGGTATGAGCAAGAACTGCTAACCTCCAGGAAGTTGCAAAATACCTCTGTAGATCTGAGCAGTTCGTAATTTTATTAAATTGGATGATCCGTAATATGTTGCTGTATAATTTAAGATTTCTCTCAGTATTTTTAAGAAGAAGACTAAATAATATTATTCGACTGATTTCTTGCTTCTCCTATGAATCTCATTTGTTAGTCATCCAAACAATGCTCCTTTACCTCATTAGTCTTTGAGAGAACTCAAATTTATACTGCTGTGTTGATGTCTGTACAAAAGAAAATGTTTTTAAATTAGTTTATGAATATTAATACTGGAATCGTTTAGTGATTACTTATTAAAGTAATAATATTAAAAAAAAACAATCTTTTAAGTGGCGTCAGTTGTTTAGCGGATAATTCACTGCCTCTTGTTATAGTCGCAGGTTCAATTTTTGCACAATATATCTGGCTGGGTGTTTTTCTCTATATATTTTATATGTTTCTACTACCACCACCAGTGAGTTATTCACTTTCATTTATTCATTTTCAAACGTACAAATATTATAAAGTTGCAAAAATTAAACCAAACATACAAAAATTATACATTGGATCTCGCACTATGCGAACCTGTATCGCGGGAGTCCCCAAAACAATTACCAAATGATTGTGGACTATTAGAGATCAGTGAGTAGAGTAGATTTGACATATCAGACGAATTAAGATATTTTAATTTGATTTCATAAAAACATACCAGATCAATTGTTGATTACATAAAATTAGATAAACAGAAAACAAAATAACAAGAGATTGTACATGCACAATTGTGATGTACTGTACATTAAATATCAAGTATTATTTACTTAATGTTATAATTAACATTCGAGTTTAGAGTCTCGGATTAAGTCTATATTCACATTATTAGGGTCAGTTTGAAAGAACCGTGCCAAAGACGCAGTTCGATCGAAGTATTTTAAAAAAAACGCGAATCCTTAACTGACCATTCGCCAATATAATGTCACTAAACGATTCTTGAGTACTAAAATGTATTGCAATAATGTACACATTATAGAAGTTAAGTTTTACAAACAACTATTTGTATAATATGTGACACATAGACGCGCAGAAAATATCACTAATGATTATTTATAGATTAGTAGAGAATTTTATAAAACCAGATCAAGGAAATAAGAAACCTGTCCTAACTGCGCATGTAAAGTTGCCAGTTACAAAAATTATTATGTAACTGGCAACTAAAGTTTTTTAAATTATTCTTCTGAACTATATAGAGTCCAAGGCCTACTTACGCAGAACAACAACCAAGAAACAGCATTACAGTAGCAACTAAGTTAAATATGACGGTCTTGGTTATCTATACTTGTCATTTCAAAATAGGAAACTACCAGTAACTAAAAGGCAGTTTTTATTTCCTTGTTCAGGTTTTATATATTATAAGTATTTACAAATTGTATTATGTTACTACTCACATTCTATGTATATTTCGATTTGAACAAAGTTCTTTAAACATATTTTAACACGTGTATATAAGTCAGCACATAGTGTTGTGTAAAAATAAGAGGAACATTTTTTTATTGTTATATACAGCTTGTTGTGTATTTTCCTTGCAATTTGATCATTTAACATTTTATTTACAATTTAGCATAAGAATAAATTTTAATTGCAATATCATAGTGATAGATCATTATTATATTATATTTTTTATTAAATTAGACGAAGTATTGTAAATACACGTTTGTATTAAAACATAACCCACCAGGCAGACATGATCATCAATTTAGATGTATATTTTTATTAATCAACTTAATTTACTATGTTGGTTTTATGATATGTATAGTTTGAAATCGCTAAAGGTGTTTCAGTCGATAATAAAACGTAAGTTATGGTATTAAAGTCGACTGTTTAAATAATATTAGGGGCGTTCGCGCACAGAAAGAATTGTTGTAGTAATAAAATGAGGCCACAGACATTAATTAAAAAAGTCAATTTACTTTGTTTCCATATAATCAGATACTATTTTTTTCGGACTACTTTAATAGTATTTGCCGCAGCTGGCCATTACAGCTTCTCCAGACGATAGGGGACGAATGCATGATGGCTCTCCAAACCAAAGGAAGGACTTATGGAGCGGCTGAAGGCCAACTCCCGCCTGACGGATACGACTTTAATCTGAGGGCACCGTTAGGGGTTCAAACCTCGGGTCAGGCCGTCGTAATTTTGATTCCCGTTTGTATTACACGGGGGACGACGGATCGATCGGAAAGGTCCATTCATATACTGTCCAGTATATTCCATATACTATTTTATGAAGTAATATAGATGGTTTCTCTCACTAAAAAAGTTGTTATAATTGTTATGTAGGAAGGCTAAACACAGTCATATATTCGTAAAACGGAAACAACTTTTTTTCACAAAGCAATGACAAAAAGTTAGATTTTCATTTTAGTGAAGTCACGATCTGTATTATTTAATATCTGTGTGCCTATAAAAAAGTTTGAATCAGCACAAATTCTTCAAATATCAAGAAAGTTGCCTTACCTGTCAAATCTAGAATGTGCCTTAACCTATGCCTTTTCCTATATTTTACATGGTTTTTACCCACAAGGTATAAAATATAATTAATTATTTATGTTAAAATATAAAATAAAATATTATTATTTCTCCGTCCAAGCTCTGGTCTTAAAATTAGTGTTAAAATTACTATTTAATATTATAAATATTAGTAATTTAAGAGGAAATAACAATGTTATTGTGAACTGTATATTTCGTAAATCCTGTTATAAATTTCACAATGTTATATGTATTAGGAATTTTCCCTGATTATTTTTTGATTTATTTATATTTGTGCTATGGAAATTTACTATAACTACTCTTTATTGCCTATGGTCCAACTATGTTAGTAAATAAGTCTGCCGTAAGCATGCATAGTATCTATATATAGTTAGTGGCAGTATTTATATCATAACATGAATTTAATTTGAAGTTCCGAAGATACTGGCAGCTTTCCCCCTTTAAATAGCTAGACTAATCCTGTATCCGAGGTCGCTGCCAGCACTTCGGTCTTGAGGATGCACATTTTACTAAACATATATTAACAGAACCGTCATTTCATATTTTGTAGTCAATGCATGTACCAATATTTTAAGTATACAAAATTGTGTTAGTCCAATCCTATTTTGTACACTTAAAATATCTATTGTAATATATATATATATTCATCAATATTGGGATCATATTCAAAGGTAATTTGTAAATTCTCTGCATTATCATTCGACACCAAAAAACTAAATGCTTTTAGTTACACTTGCAAGAAGAAAAATATCACTACAATTAATAATTATTGTAACTTTTGTTATACTTTAAAACTTTGTCATTCTGGCCATTAGAGATGTGCATAACTATTTCATGTAAATAATTTATTTCATTAAATTATTATTGTTATTATTAAAAGTAACTTCCGTTGTGTTCGAATCTAAAATTAAATAATTTCACTTTATATAAAGCGCACACATACAAATCATTGTCAATCATTTACTTTTCAAATTATAAAAAAATTGAGGTATTGCTTGGCAATCAGTACTGTATTGTGTGTAACGTGTTAAAATACTTAGTTAATAGCGTTTCCACCCAGAACAGAGTATATTATAATTTATTTTATTTTATTTTATTTAGAACTCGATTTCCTTTACGCTCAGTGTTAATGTGACCACAGTAATGGCTTCGAGATCTAAATGAGTTATCACTACTTCTTGCAAGAATACAATATAATTGTGGACAAATCTTATTTATTTATTAATTTCATATTCTATTTCTATATTTTGTGTATATTCCAAATAATCTCCGTCCTAATTCGAAGATCTGCTTTTATTGGCAATAAGCTAAGTTTTAATAAATAAAGATGATTTTTAAAACCTGCAACAGTATTTTACTTATATTATCTTTACTACATTAGGCATTGTTTATGCATTAAGCTTTAAATACGTAAAATAACGCAGATAAAGTATTTGATTACACTATCAAAATACCGTCCTTTTGGTACATATTTAGAATTAGCCTTGGCAACACTAAATATTTTTTTACGAAAATGGCAGTTAATTTTCATATTTGTCAGTCTTGTATTAAGCAGTACGATCTAAAAATATATAAGAAGAAAATAAAAAATATGAAGACAAGGCTGTATGGCCTCAGTTTCCATTGCCTTACCGTGAAAAAAAAAAAAAAATACTTACTCTGTGGTTAACTTAGACTCTTTGCCTTTCCATTACGGATAATTAAAACAAAAATGTAATTCTTACGTTGGAGGTTCTGTTCATCCTTGGATAAAGAATCACTATGGATATGACAGCGAATAATAATACCGTGATAGACCGAGATCACAGCATACGAAAATATACAGGAATAAAAAGGACAACATATTTTTTTGCTGTCCTTGTCTGAGTTTCGTTGGGCACAACCGAAGTTGTGACCAACAAAAGTTTGTGCCTTGCGATTTTTCTTGATTATTGAGTTATTTTGAGCCAAAAACATTATAGAAAGAGTGTCGATATATGTGATTTATATAATATTTATCGAGAAACATGGTGATATGTTATATCTTGGGCTGTAAAAGCCGTAGTGAGCGAAAATGTGAAAACATAACCTTTCATACGTAAGTACGACTTTTTATGGAATAATATGTTCTGATTTACAAAAATATCGATAAGGTTATCTTAATGGCTTATTAATACGTGAGGAATCGTGTCTGAATTAGTGAAATAAAGTGTTTAAAATATATTTTGTATTTACTGCGATGGTACTATTATACGACCAAATTCAGATGCTAAACATTTTAGTGGCTGCCTAAGTCTTTCATTACTTTTAATTTTTATAGGGTTATACGATTTTTAGGGTTACCAGTTAATAATGGGGAAATTACCCAAATGTTATGTATTTATTTTATTTATCATAAAATACGCTAAGGATAAATGTCTTTTTTTATTTTTCTTCTGATGATCTGAGTATGTGCATTTAATAGAGTTAATTATTTTAGATTTCCAAAAGATTCTACGATCCGGCAAATATGGATACGTGCAACAAGACGAGATAACTGGATTCCAAGTAAATATGCAAGAATATGCTCCAAACACTTTGAACGAAATTGTTTTAGGAAAACTTCTCGCAACGTTTATTTGAAAGCGTACTCGGTTCCGACGCTACATATTACTGCTAAGAAGGTAAAATATTATGATACTTGCTAATATTTATAAATGTGTTATTGTGTACATATCATCAGTGAAAAATGGGGACAAAATATAGTAGCAGCCTTGCTAAAAATTGAGAATCTTAGCCATGATTTTGTACTATAACAGTTCATGGTTATGTTGAAAAAAGTGTTCTGAAATTGTCTACATAGTTCCTTAATTTTTACCACTTTAAAAAACAAGTACAAGTCCTTTTTGCTTTGGGATGGCCCAAAGCAAAAAGGACTTGTACTTGTTTTTCAAAGTCCTATTAGAAGTTAAGACAGCCTGAAGT